AACTCATGCGGAAGCGGCTTTAGATTCTCAGTGCTGTGCTTTAACCCGCTGCGCCACCAGGGAGGGCCTAATGACCTCATTTTAACTTGATCATCTGCAAAGACTCTTTTTCCAAATAGGGTAACACACACAAGTATTTAGGGTTAGGGCTTCAACATACTTTTGGGAGATGTAATTTAACACAATAATAAGCCTAACAAACAGAAACCACAAAGCTGGGGCTTTAAGATGATACCAGGATGGCAAAGATATCAGAGAATAGTGCAGAATTTTAATGCTAAACACTTGGGAGGGCAATAGAATACAACAATCATGAAACTTTAAGAGAGGACAGGTCAGCAGTAACAAGTACAGTGGGATTCAGTGAGTTGAGGTCAGGGAAGGACTCCAGTTGCCTTGTGATTAGGGGTCCATGGGTGACTGTTTCATGTCACATTGGACATATATGTTCCTGTGTCAGTCTTTATGTGTTCCTGTGTCAGTGTTTATTTGTTGGGTGAATGAATAGGAATGATAGTGTAGAGAAAGCAAGAGGGATATTTGTACATAGTTTGGCTAGGAAGAGGAAGACAAGGATATGTATCCACAGGAAGATGCAGGGACTGGCCTTAGGGAGAAAAAAGTGGGGTTATGGAAAAATAGGACTAAGAGATAGAGCAGAGTCTTGGGGACTCAACAAGAATAAAAGGAATTTTCCTTGAATATATAGAAAGAAAATACAAAATCAGAAATGTGATTTTTCTTTTTTTCCTTTTTGCATAGAAGAATTGGGTTGCAGTGTAGGCCAGAGGTGCAGGGAATGCAAGGATTTATCGCAGTCAGAATGGGGAGCAGAAAAGGTGAATTTACGGAAACACACTGCTGAAGGGAGCAGGAGACAAGACAGGAGGGGTCTGCTGCACCACATGTGGGTCAGCTCCCTGGCTGGGGACTGAACTCAGGTCTTTGAGGTGATAGCGCTAATACTTAACCACTAGGCCCCCAGGGCGGCTGTAGAAGTGTGGATTTTCTTTTAAGGATAGAGTCTAGGAAAGCAACAAATCAGAAGTGCAATCTACAGAATGGAGAAATCTTTGCAAGTCACATATCTGATAAAGTGTAGTACTCAAAATATGTAAAGAAGCCACTTAACTCAATGGCAAAAACTAAAACAAATCCTGGACAATCCAATTAAAATGAACAGAAGAACTAAGCAGACATGTTTCAAAGAAAAGACACAAGAGGTCAGCAGATATATACTCAGTGTCACTCTTCATCAGGAAATTCAAATCAAACCCACAACGGGATATCACTTCCTGTCTGTTCGAATAGCTATCCCTGTAGAGATAAAAGATAATACACATTGAGGAAGATGTGGAGAAAAGGGAATTCTTTTGTACTGCTTGTTGAACTGTAAATTGGTATAGTAACTATGGGAGTTAATATGAAGCTCCTCAAAACAGAACTGTTGTATGACCCAGGAATATTCTGGGAATACATACCCAATAGAAAGGAAAACAGGATCTTGATGAGTTTTCCGCACTCTGTTCATTGCAGCATTAGTCACAGTAGGAAAAACGTAGAAACGAGACAACTTAGTGGCCACTGATGATGAATGAATGAAGAAGATGGGATATATAGGTGTACATATTATGGAGAATTATTCAGCTTTTAGAAAGGACATTTTGCCTTTTGCAACACCTGGATGTATCTTGATGACATGCTAAGTGAAATAAATGTCAGATAGAGAAAGATAATTACTGATGATATACTTACATGAGGAATATAAAAAGCTAAACTCACACAAACAGTGATTAGGCTGATGGTCACCCACATAGGGGAAACGGATGACAATGAACAGAGTACAAACTTCTTGTTATAAGCAAGTTCTTGTCACCTAATGTACCTCATAGTCGCATCGTGATCATAATTATACTTTGCTGTGTATTTGAATGTCACTAAGAAAGTAGTTCTTAAATGTTCCTAGTACAGAAAGGAAATGCTAATTATGTGATGGGATGTTAACAATATGGCAGTAATTAGCTGGTAATTATCAAAATTTTTGTTTGTTGTATCAAACCAACAGGTTTGTTGGTTTACAATGGATACTTAAAAAATGTCACTCTGTCAACTATATTTCAATGAAAACTAGAAAGGGATTCCATTTTGTTTCCTCAATGGGTTGCCTAATAACTACCTTTGTTAAATTAAATCAAGGAGTTCTAGAGAGGATACATTTTTGTTTGCTGAATCTCCCCCGTTCCCTATGACTTTGTTGTCCAGAAGATAGAAAATACACTGTAGTTAATGAAATCTCTAAGGTTTTGCTATAGTTCATGT